GTCTCGAACCCGCGGGCTCAGGCGATCCACTCACCTCAGCCTCCCAAAGGCGCGGGATTGCAGGCTGAGCCACCGAGCCTGGCTAGTGTCACTCTTTCAGCCCTTCTTTATCTTCAAGGCGTTCCAGGCCCCGCTCACACTTCCCCTGTCCCAGTCCTGGACTCAGCCATTTTGCCAAGACGTGCTGGTGAATTTTGGGCACCTCCTGGGAGCCATTCACACCCTAGGGCTGCACACCTGGGAAGCACACTCTGTTGGGTGGTCGTGCTCCTGGCACAGGCTGCTGCGCCAGTGACCAGAGCAGGCAAAGCCCAAGGATGTGGTGTCCATTTTGGGGGTTTTTATCATCTTTGTGCATTTCTTTTCACTTAAGATAAATTATATTCCCCCAGATCCAATATGTTTGTTTCTTTCTTTCTTTCCTTCTTTGAGCCAGTGTCTCACTCCGTCACCCAGGCTGGAGTGCAATGGCACCGTTACGGCTGACTCACTACAGCCTCTACCTCCTGGGCACACTGGGCGCAGACAATCCTTCCGTCTCAGCCTCCTGAGCAACTGTGACTACAGGCATGCGCCACCATGCCCAACCAATTGTTTTGATTTTTTGGCAGAGACAAGTTCTCACTATGTTGCCTAGGTTGGTCTCCATGTCCTAGGCTCCAGTGATCCTCCTGCCTCAGCCCCCCAAAGTGCTGGGTTTACGGGTGTGAGCCACCGCACCTGGCCTCTTTAATGTTTTTTTTTGAGTTGGAGTCTCTGTCGCCCAGACTAGAGTGCAGTGGCCACTCCCGGCCACTGAAACCTCGACCTGCTGGGCTCCGGCGATCCTTCCGCCTCAGCCTTCTGAGTAGCCGGAATTACAGGCATGCGCTACCATGCCCGGCTGATTTTTTGATTTATTGTAGAGATGAGGTCTCGCTGCCCAGGCAGGTCTCGAGCCCGCGGGCTCAGGCAGTCCACTTACCTCAGCCTCCCAAAGGTGTGGGATTACAGGCTGAGCCACCGAACCCAGCTTCTCTTTCATGTTTTAAAATTAACTATGTAAACTCTTTCATGTTTTATAGTTAACTATGTAAAGTTGATTGTGAAATAGAGTGTACTTATATAAAATGTCCAATATTAAAAAAAAATAGATTGTCTTTGATTTTGTGTCTTACGGTGTTTGAAGAATAAACATTATACTTAATAGTTTGCCTAGGAAACAATGAGTCATCGCTGGCGGGCGTGCAGATCAGAGTAAGGTATGGGTAGCCTCCAGGGTATTTCATTCACAATATTGGAGAACCCTTCTGGGGCTGTCCATGCCTGACTCACAGATGCAGCCTCTCTCCCTCCGACAGAAGCTTGATGTGGGAGGGGAAGGAGCATCTGAGTGTGAAATCTGATGTGTCAGATCATGGTTAGGTGATTTGGGGAAAGTACCTGAAGTCTGTGAGGTTGAGATTCCTTGTGCCCAATGTGAGAATGGTGAGGACAGCACCCCACGGCCGAGGTGATCTGAGAGGAAGGGCCTTGAAATCAGTGCTTTGTGAGCAAAAAGGAGCCTTAGCTCTCCTATCTCAGCCCTCTCCTTCGACAGGGGAGGACTGCTGCTCAGAGGGGACAGTGGTCTCACGGGCCCATCGAGCTGGGACTGGACCCACCCAGTCTTGAGTGGCCCCGCATGGCCCGTGCTCCTGACCACGGATGCGACTCCTGGTCTTTGGGCTGCATAGCCCGGAGGGCTGCTTCTGCTGATTTGTCTACCAAACCACAGGTTCGAGAAGATGATCAGCGGCCTCTACCTGGGGGAGCTCGTCAGGCTCATTCTGCTGAAGATGGCCAAGACTGGCCTCCTGTTTGGTGGCAAGAAATCCTCCGCGCTCCACACCAAGGGCAAGATCGAGACACGGCACGTGGCTGCCATGGAGAAGTAAGTGAGCCGCAGGCCGGGCCCCTCCCACCTTTGGTGGGTGGAGGGGAGGGGGGAAGGCCAGGGTGTGTGTGCCTGGGGTGAGGAACAGCAGTAGGGACCAGCACCTCCCTCTTTACCCGGAGGATGCGACCTGGGCATGGCTTCAGACGGCTGGGCAGTTTCTGCTGGGCCTCTGATGCAACGTTCGGGTTGATTTCCTCAGCTGGGGCGGGGCCTCTGCCTCCAGAGGGCCACCCTCTCCCCCTGTTTTCTGTCAGGGTTTCCACGTGTGAAGAGCACGTCCCTCAGACATGCTGGACAGCAAGTCCAGCTGGGGCCAGCTGCTTTCCCCAGCCAGCCTGCTTTCTCCATTCCAGGAACCCGCATGTGAGTCTCCCATCAGCAGATCGAAGCCAACCCTGATGTCCTATGGTCCTAAAGTGGGGACTTGTAACTTTGTTTAGGGTCACAGACCCTATTGAGGGCTTTAGTCAGCTTCTAGACCCTTTATCCCACAATTTCACATACAATATGGGCAAATTCGTGGACCACCTAAAGCCCATATGTGGAATTCAAGTTAGGAAATCTTGTGGCTGGGCACGGTGGCTCAGTCTGTAATCCTAGCACTTTGGGAGGCTGAGGAGAAAAGATTGCCTGAGCCTGGGGGTTTGAGACCAGCCTGGGCAACTTAGTGAGACCTCGTCTTTACAATGAATCACACACACACACACACACACACACACACACACACACACACACACATACACACACACACAAAGTAGCTGGGCGTTGAATCACACACACACACACACACACACACACACACACACACACACACACACACAAAGTAGCTGGGCGTGGCGGCATGGATCTGTAGTTCCAGCTACTCAGAAGGCTGAGGCAGAAGGATCACCTAAGCCCAGCAGGTCGAGGCTGCGGTGGCCGTGAGCATGCTGCTTGCTGCACTCCAACCTGGGCGATAGGAGTGAGACTTTTACTCGGGAAAAAAAAAAAGATCTCTTTCAATAGTAGAGCTTTCTCCACCTGTTTCCATCAGGGTTGGCTTCGATCTGCTGATGAGAGCTTACACACAGGTTTCTGGAATGGGGAGCTGGCTGGGGAAAGCGGCTGGCCCCAGCTGGACTTGCCGTCCAGCATGTCTGAGAGGCATGCTCCTCACACGTAGAAACCCTGACAGAGATCTGTCATCAGTGTCGATTCTGAGGGAGTGTATATGCAGGGCAGCTTGAATCTGTGCTTTCTGGAAAACAAAAAAAGGATCCTGAACTCAGTAGCTTAGCACTGACCCCCTAGAGCCTGTGTCGATGCAGAACTTGGCAGGGATGGGATTTCTGTGGAAGGTTATATAGTACAACGTGGTTAAATGTGTGGGTGCTATAATCTAACTGCTAAGTTCAAATCTTGGCTCTAGCACTTACTTGCTGTGTGATCCTGGACGAGTTACCTACCCTCTCTATGCTTCACATCTCTCATGTTACAATAGGGTAATGACAGTACTTTCCCCAGGATGGTTGTGTGGATTAAATGAGTTTAATAAATGTAAACTCCTTAGACGAGTACGTAGCACATGATGAGTGCCCAGTAAGTGGTGGCCGCTATTACCAATATTGATGTTATTATTATTCATTACTATGCGCCAGCCTATTTATTTTCCCCATCTTGGGAAATGGAAAGCTGGTTCCCCCAGGAGGATACCCAGGGGAAGGAGAAGTGTAGCTGGCTCACTCCTGTCCCCTGGCCAGGTATAAAGAAGGCCTTGCCAACACGCGAGAGATCCTGACGGACCTGGGCCTGGAGCCGTCCGACGCCGACTGCATCGCTGTCCAGCACGTCTGCACCATCGTCTCCTTCCGCTCGGCCAATCTCTGCGCGGCGGCCCTGGCGGCCATCCTGACCCGCCTCCGGGAGAACAAGAAGCTGGCGCGACTCCGGACCACGGTGGGCGTGGACGGAACCCTCTACAAGACACACCCTCAGTGAGTGCCGCCTGCCAGCCACGCCCACAGACGCGCCTCCCTGGGGCGGGCCAGTGTTCTCCTGGGCCAGCCTGCCTACCCGAGGGCTGGGCTGGGGCCGGCCACCTCCAGTGGCTCTGCGCTGATAAGGGGAAGGGTGACTCCAGAGCCTGCAGTCATCCTGCTGGCTGGGTTGCTTTTGGGGCTCACTCTTAAAGAAGTACTCTGCTGAGGCCAATTGCCTGCTCAGGAAGGTTGTCCACCTTGTATCTGTCCGTCCATCCACCCACCCAGGCATTTATCAGCCATCCATTCTCTATCCATTATTTACTGAACACCTACTATGTGCTAAGACTAGAAGGTAAGATATGCCTACCCGGAGATGGGGAAATAGGGGTAGCAGGGGTTGCCAAGTGCACGTGAAGGTTCCTGGTAGGAAAACACAGGGAAATGGGAATTTTTCAGAGGTGGAGTTGGAAGTCGAGTGGCTACACCTGGAAGCCGCTGAGAACAAAAACCTGTCCCTTTGGACAGAAATGATGCTTAGCTGATACCTTATGCGTGGACATAACAAACTCGTTGATAAAATAGGCACTTTCCTGAGCCTCCCAAGTGTCTTCCACTGCCCCGAGTGTCTAGTCCCTCCTGCCTGTCACCTCCTGCCCTCCCCGCCGTCCAGCAAATAAAGGGGTGAGCCCCGCCGGCAGAGCCCTCCAGGACTGAGTCCACTGTTGCCTCGGTGTCTGTTCCCATTGGCCGAGCCTGGCCTTTGTGACTGTTGAATGTTTTGCCATCGCCCCTGCCTTCAGGTACCCAAAACGCCTGCACAAGGTGGTGAGGAAACTGGTCCCAAACTGTGATGTCCGCTTCCTCCTGTCGGAGAGTGGCAGCACCAAGGGGGCTGCGATGGTGACCGCAGTGGCCTCCCGCATGCAGGCCCAGCGGAAGCAGATCAACCGGGTGCTGGCTTTGTTCCAGCTGACCCGAGAGCAGCTTGTGGACGTGCAGGGCAAGATGCGGGCTGAGCTTGAGTACGGGCTGAAGAGGAAGACCCACTCGGTGGCCACAGTCAAGATGCTGCCTACCTACGTTTGTGGGCTGCCAGATGGCACAGGTAGGCCGGGCACCACTCCCTTCTCTGAAGGGCCACCCAGAGCTCCTGTCAAAACTCCTTAGAGCCAGTGAGGTTTTTTGGTTTTTAGAGCCTTAGATTAGTCTGGGCAACATGGCGAGACCTTGTCTTTACCAAAGGAAAAAAAAAAATAGAAAAATTAGCTGGGTATGGGAATGCGTGCCTGTACTCCCAGTTATTTGGGAGGCTGAGCCAGAGGATTGCCTGAGCCCAGGAGGTCAAGGCTGCAGTGAGCCGTGATTGTGCCACTGCACTCCAGCCTGGGTGACAGAGTGAGACCCCAACTCAAAAAATAAAACATGGGCTGGACGCAGTGACTCAAGCCTGTAATCCCAGCACTTTAGGCGGCCGAGGCGAGAGGATTGCCTGAGCCCAGGGGTTTGAGACCAGCCTGGGCAACTTGGTGAGACCTCGTCTCTACAGTATATTAAAAAATTGGCTGGGCATGGTAGCATGCACCCGTAGCTCTGGCTACTTGGAAGGCTGAGGCGGAAGGATTGCCTGAACCCAGCAGGTCGAGGCTGTGGTGGCCATGAGCGTGCCACTGCACTCCAGCCTGGGCGACAGAGTGAGACTCTGACTATAAATAAATAAATAAAAATTAAAAATGGTTTAGCACCTAGGCTTTACATCTGTCACAGAGGTGGGAGAACAATGTAGAAGGTTAGTATTCCTTATGCACCTGTTGGCCTTGGCTAATCCAAAGTATTTGCAGTGGAGAAATACCCAAGTTAGGTTATGTGTGTGTGTGCGCATGTGTGTGTGTGTGAACACAAAGGTCCCCCGTGCTGTGCAGACGCAGAGCCTGTCCCTGGTTCTTCCATCTAGACTCCTGGGGCTGCCTGGGTGTGTCTTCCCGCTGCTTCTCTGGCTGTTTCCCTGGGGCTTGGCTCACTTTCTCTCCCCTCTCATCGCTTCTGCCCCTGACTTTTCCAGTGCTTCATTCTGCTCCTGGTCCTCAATCTTCAGCCGAGAGAAGCCACTAAGTAGTGGAGTGAGTTCTTTAATTTTTAAAAAATTTTTAACATTTATTTTTTGAATCGGAGTCTGACTCTGTCACCCAGACTAGAGTGTCATGACATGATCACAGCTCACCACAGCCTCAACCTCCTGGGCTCAGATGATCTTTCTGCCTCAGCCTCCCTAGCAGCTGGGACTACAGGTGTATGTTACCATGCCCGGCTAATTTTTAAAATTTTTTTGTAGAGACAAGGTCTTTCTGTGTTGCCCATGCTGGTCTCGAGCTCCTGGGCTCACAGGACAGAGTGAATGAGGCTGGGTTTACAGGCACGAGTCACCATGACTAGTTGGTTCTTTAGACAAGTTATTTTACCTCTTTGAATCTCATGAGTCTTTTCCAGAAATAATGACCTTAGTAAAATGCTTTACATCTTACAATTTGCTTTCGAACCTTGCATTTCAGTTCATCCTCACAACCACTTCATATATTACTAAAGAGAGACTGGTTCCCATTCTATGGATGCCAAAACTGAGGCTCAGACAGATTAGATGACCTCCTCAAGACCACACAACTATACTTTGGATCTCTTTACAACAAAGATCTTTTCTAGAGCCAATGGGGGGGGGGGGCGAGAGCAGTAAAAGACCCTTCAATTATTCATTTTTTTTCTCTTGAATCCTCTGCCTTTGTTCCTCGAAGTTTCACTAAGTGTCTACTGCTTGTCAGACCGTGTAGACACAGTGACAGGGCAGTAACACAGCCCCTGCTGTGTAGAGCTCACAGTCTGTTGGACTGCAGACATGAACAAATGATGCCATGTGATGTCAGGGAATGACAGGTGCTAAACAGAAAGTGGTACAGGCTAAGGAGTCAGAGATGGCTGGGAGTGACACTTTGGGAACAGCAGAAAGACCAGCATGGTTGGGACAGAGTGAGTGAAGCGGAGAGATAGACGAGCAGTGCTACAGATCACACTCAGGTGCTAAGAGGTGTCAGAGAAGGGAAAGGTGCTGGGGGAGGGGGAAGGAGGGTGGGGCCAGCTGCTACCACTGAGATAGGAATTGGCGTGATTGCTTACTAATTAGGTGGTGGTGTCAGGATCTGGAGAAGGGGAGAGGAGGCAAGTAGCCCCGCTTCGTGCTTGTAATGAACAATTCCTCTAGCCCGTACAAACAGGATGAAAACCCCTTCCAGAGTCCCTAGCAGTCAGGGGAGCCTGGCCCAATTCCTCCTCAGAGGCCCCTTTTGTACAAGTGTCACCGTGTCCCTTACCAGATACTCCACACCTGAACACAGTTACTTGGAGTGCCTTCAGTCGATGGGATTTAGGGCTGGAAGAACATTCAGAGGTCCAAACTCCTTACTTTGCTGATGCAGGAAGACGGGATCTGGCTTCTCTTGCTCAAGATAGAAAGCTGTTTCTCAGAACCCCAGGTCCCTTGACTCCAGACCAAGGCTCTTTACATGATAACTCACTGGGGGTAGTGTACGTGATGCCTGGACCTCTGTTACAGAAATGAAGAAAAGCAGTCTGGCCTCCGACAGGCTCCAGGTGCCTGCCGGGGCCCTGACGTTGTGCAGGGTGACTGTCATGACCCTCTGGGAGACCCCCCCAGTACCCTGACGTGAGTCCCTGTCATGAAATGCAGCTCTGCTTTCTCCACCATAGAGAAAGGAAAGTTCCTTGCCCTGGATCTGGGGGGGACCAACTTCCGGGTCCTCCTGGTAAGGATCAGAAGTGGGCGGAGGTCCGTGCGGATGTACAACAAGATCTTCGCCATCCCCCTGGAGATCATGCAGGGCACCGGCGAGGAGGTAAACGCCAGGCAAGGGTGGTCCCTGGGGGCCAGCCTGCCACCGGGTCAGTGTCAGTGCCGGCCCGTGTGAATGCCGCCGTCTCCCTGCAGCTCTTTGACCACATTGTGCAGTGCATCGCCGACTTCCTGGACTACATGGGCCTCAAGGGAGCCCCGCTGTCCCTGGGCTTCACGTTCTCATTCCCCTGCAGGCAGACGAGCATCGACAAGGTCAGTCAGTCCCACCAGTCTCACAGCCAGCCCGTGCGTGCGCTGCTTTCCTCCATCAGGGCATCTTGGGCTACCTCTGCATCACCCTTTTTAAACATTTTTTGAGTTGGAATCTCACTCCATCACCCAGGCTAGAGTGCAGTGGCACACTCACGGCCACCCCAGGGTCAGCCTGCTGGGCTCCGGCGATCCTTTCACCTCAGTCTTCCAAGTAGCCAGAACTACAGATGCACATTACCATGCCTGGCTATTTGATTTTATTTTTTGTATTTCTTGTAGAGATGAGATCTTGCCATGTTGCCCGGGCTGGTCTCGAACCCATGGGCTCAGGTACCCATGGGCTGGTCTCGAACCCATGGGCTCTCTCCTCAGCCTCCCAAAGGGTTGATGCCACCATGCCCGGCCCACTCTTTATTTTATATAGGAGTCTCAGGTTCACAGCAGCTGGGACACATGATAGAGAATTTCAACGATTTAATTTTGTCAGGCCGGGCATGGTGGCTCACACCTGTAATCCCAGCACTTTGGGAGGCTGAGATGGGAGGATCACTTGAGCCCAGGAATTCAAGACTAGGCTGGGGGCCGGGCTCAGTGGCTCAGCCTGTAATCCCAGCACTTTGGGAGGCCGAAGTGAGTGGATTGCCTGAGCCCGCGGGTTCGAGACCCACTCAGGCAACTTGGTGAGAACTCATCTTTACAATAAATCAAAAATTAGTCGGGTGTGGTAATGCACACCTGTAGTTCCAGCTACTGGGAAGGCTGAGGCGGAAGGATCACCGGAGCCCAACAGGTCGAGGCTACGGTGGCTGGGAGCGACCACTGCACTCCAGTCTGGGTGACAGTGAGACTCCAACTCAAAAAAAAAAAAAAGAATAGTGTGGAATAAAAGGATGTAACCATAATAGTGCTGTTAAAAGAGACATCATTTGATAAAATTACCTTGGGATAGAATAAATGGAGGGAGAGAGGGGTCAAATCATATTATGGAGAGATAGAGAGGGGAAATAACAATTGGGTTCCTGGGTAGCCACTGTAAACAGGGAAACAGGACAGCTTGTAGGGTTTTTGTCATCTGATGAAAGCAAGTTCACCAGGGCCTCATAAGAAATGTATTTCTCTCCTGATATTAGTATCTCGGAAGGAATTTATCACATGGACATTTTGGTTGACATTGAAGAACATCATGGATAATCATCTTAATAGTAATTTAATAACTTAGAAACATTTATCACAAGGTCTTTCTTGTAATTCTTGGGTGAAAGCACCTCGAGAAGGCTTTATGGGTAACAAGTAAAGGTTTGTAATGGGGAAGCTAATACTTGGATAGGCCAGGTGCGTTTTTGTCTTGGTAAACCAGCTTGATCATGAGGTAGAGCTGTGAGAGTGGGGACTGAACACTGGGCTGCACTCTGAAATGCCCCAGAGTTCCACTGGGTGTTGCGGGACTCAGCCTGGAGCTGAGGGTGCGTGTGTGAGGTGGGCCTTTGGGTGAGGCTGGGGCAAAGCTATCTGTGCCAAGACTGAGAGAGACAGGTAGCAGTCTCTGTCAGTGTCCACACAGTGCAGCCCTTGAACAGGCAGCCTCCGGGTAGGGCCATCCCCTTCTTCAAGGGGCTCAGGAGCAGCCCAGACACAGCCACAGCAGAGAGGCCCAGTGTCCTTCTCAAGGTCGGGAATCACAGTGGTTAAGAAGCCAAGCTTGGGGTCACAGCCTTCTGGGTTGCAACTGCTTCCTACTTGAATAATGTTGAGCAAGTCATTTAACTTCTCTGAGGCTTGATTTCCTCCTTGGTGAAAATGAAGATAACGGCACCCATCTTGTTTGGATAATGGTAGGACTTCATGTAAGATGCACAGGACAGTGCCTGGCACATAGAAACACCCAAATACTAGTATCATTAACTCTCAAGGTGGAATAGGATTGAAATTGAGCCTGCAAAAGACTGAGAGAATCCTTGTGTTGGTGATGGTGGTGAGGAGGGGGGCACACTGTCACCAGGGGCTCATGGTGGCACCATGGGGGTGAATTCTCTACAGCCTCTGGCCTTGGCTTCACAGATTAGCTCTTTCTCTTTCTGACGGACAGGCTCACATCAACAATGCTTCCAAGACTGGTGTGAAACAGATGACCACTTCCTAAATGTCCAGTGGGAAATGTGGTCAGCACAGCCAGTCAACCAGAGGAACTCATGACAACAATAAGAGTAGCACCCTCGCTTCTCGGCCTTTTGGCTAAGATCAAGTGTAGTAAGAGTAGCACTAGGCCAGGCTCAGTGACTCAGCCTGTAATCCCAGCACTGTGGGAGGCCAAGGGGAGTGGATTGCCTGAGCCCGTGGGTTCGAGACCAACCCAGGCAACTTGCCAAGACCTCATCTCTACAATAAAAAAATTAACCAGGCATTGTAACGCATGCCTGATTAACGCATTCCAGCTACTTGGAAGGCTAAGGCAGAAGGATCGCTGGAGCCCAGTAAGTCAATGCTGGGGTGGCCATGAGTGTGCCACTGCACTCCAACCTGGGCAACAGAGGGAGACTCCAACTCAAAAAAAAAATAGCACCGAAGACTCACTAAGATTTTCTTCAGTCCGCTCAACGTCCCCATGATGAACACATTGGGGCTTTGTTTTTTTTTTTGCCATTTTCTTATTGTAGTAAAATATATATAATATACATAATATCAAAAACAGTACCCATTGTTAAACATATGGTTTTGTGGCATTCAGTACATTCACACAGTTGTGCAACTGTCAGCAACATCCATCTCTCAAGTTTTTTCATCTTTTCCATCTGAAACTGTGTCCCCATTTAACATGAACTCCCTGCTTTTCCTTTCCCTGGCAGCCACCATTCTATTTTCTGTGGCTGTGAATTTGACTAGTCTAGATACTTCCTGTAAGTGGACTTGTATGGGATTTGTCCTTTTGTCTGTGGCTTATCTCACTTACCGCCATGTCCTCCAGGTTCATCCATGTTGTAAGCATGTGTCCGACACGCCTTCTTTTCGAAGGCTGAATGGAATCCCATCGTGTGTGTACACACTGGTTTTTTGGGTTTTTTTTGAGTTGGTGTCTCACTCTGTCGCCCAGACTGGAGTGCAGTGGCACACGCTCCTGGCCACCACAGCCTTGACCTGCTGGGCTCCAGCCATCCTTCCACCTCAGTCTTCCAAGTAGCCAGAACTACAGGCGTGCGCTACCATGCCCAGCTAATTTTTGATTTATTGTAGAGACAAGGTCTCGCCAAGTTGCCCGGGCGGGTCTCAAACCCGCGGACTCAGGCAATCCACCTGCCTCGGCCTCCCAAGGCGCTGGGATTACAGACTGAGCCACCGAGCCTGGCCGTGTACACACTGTTTTTAATCATCATTGTAGAATCTAAGTTGGAGGCACAGAAGCATTATGCAAGTTGTCCCAGTTGCCACACTTGTGAGTGGCAGTGGAGGGGTCTGACACCAGACACTGGCCGCAGAGCCCAGGCTCTTGAACTCTGCCTTTTTGGGGACCTAGATCTGGAACCCAGGAGGGAGGCATACTCTTTTTAATTTTTTTAAAAACATTTGATCAGCTTGTTTTATTACCCTCCCCCATTTTTCATGGCATATTTTAAAGTAAATTCCAGATATTGGATCATTCTACCTGCCAAAACTTTAGAAGGTCTTTTAAAAAAACCCCATAATCCCATTACCGTTATCACACCTAACCAGGTTAATGATAATTCCTTAATACCCTCCTGTATTCTCAGGGTCACTTTTAACTGGTGAGAAGGGACTGAAGGACAGGAGGGAGCACACGAACGCACCAGGGCTGATGGTGCTCGTGGCTGTGGCTGTTGGCTGTCTGGCGGTCTCGCTGCCCTGCGTCTCCCGGGTCCTGCCATCATTCTCCGCCTGGGGCCAGGCCCTTCAGGCCAGATCAAGGGTGACTCTGATGCCCCCTGCCTCCCCGTTCCCGGGTTGGCGGCTCCAGCAGGCCTGATGCAATGGCACGACCCACTGTCCCCAGTGATGGACACAGCTGCCTGCACTGCACTTCCCCTCCACCCACCTCCGTGGCACCTGCATCTCCTAGTGGGGCTGGAACTGGAATTGGCTCCCTTACCTGAGCATGTCAGGCCCATGGCCACCACCTCCCTACCTCTACTCGATGCCAAGGTTTTTGAACCATTTGCACAGTTTTTGAACATTTTGCACCTACAATGCACTTGTACACCCACATGTATAATCAAAACAAAACTCAAGTAATAATACTTGCCCAGCCTAGGTGACAGAGTAAGACTCTGACTCCAAAAACAAAAAACAAAAAATAAAAATGTACACGTTCAGCCGTGTTCGGTGGCTTAGCCTGTAATCCCACGCCTTTGGGAGGCTGAGGTGAGTGGATTGCCTGAGCCTGTGGGTTCAAGACCCGCCTGGGCAGCAAGACCTCATCTCTACAATAAATCAAAAAATCAGCCGGGCTTGGTAGCGCATGCCTGTAGTTCCGGTTACTTGGAAGGCTGAGGCGGAAGGATCGCCGGAGCCCAGCAGGTCGAGGCTGCGGTGGCCGGGAGCGGCCACTGCACTCCAGTCTGGGTGACAGAGTGAGACTCCGACTCAAAAAAAAAAAATGTACACATTCTAAGAGCCGGCAGATCTGCTTTCCAGATATGTGCCCAAAGAGGTGTGGATAAGGTTGTTCACTTATAGCAGCACTGCAATAAGGGAAAAATCTAGTTTCTTAGTCTAATTTAAAAATTCGAAATAACCCAAATATCTGGCAATGAAGAGTGACTAATAAACTATAGTCTAACAATCATATGGAATGAGCTACTTGATTTTTATTCAACAAACACTTACATAGTGCATGTTCATTGCCAGACACTGTTCTAAGTACTTTATGGACATTTCCTTATTTGACTGGGAGGCAGCAGTGTACAGTAGTTAAGAGCATGGCCTGAATTCAAATCTTGGCTTTCCCACTTAATGACCTTGTGACCTTGGGCAATTTATTTAACCTCTCTGTAACTTGGTTTCCTCATTTGAAAAATGAGAATATCAGCCTGTAATCCCACGCCTTTGGGAGGCTGAGGTAAGTGGATTGCTTGAGCCCGCGGGTTCGAGACCTGCCTGGGCAACTTGGCGAGACCTCATCTCTACAATAAATACAAAAATCAGCCGGGTGTGGTCGCACATGCCTGTAATTCTGGCAACTTGGAAGGCTGAGGTGGAAGGATCGCCGGAACCCAGCAGGTCGAGGCTGCGGTGGCTGGGAGCGGCCACTGCACTCCAGTCTGGTTGACAGAGTGAGACTCCAACTCAAAAAACAAACAAAAGAAAAAAGAAAAAGAAAAAAGAAAAATGAGAATAAAAATATTACTTATTTTATTGGTGTGCTTTATGGATTTGTTTATTTCTGTACAATTTCATTTGAGGAATAATTTGCTGACTGAAAGAATGTGGTAGATCCATATTAACTGGCCTGGAAAGGCCTAGAAGATGCAATTATTAAATGAGAAAAACAAATTGTAGGTAGTTTACACACAGTGTGAATGTACTCACTTAAAAATACGTATAAGCCAGACTCGGTGGCTCAGCCTGTAATCCTGCACTTCAGGAGGCTAAGATGAGTGGATTGCCTGAGCCAGCGGGTTCAAGAACTGACTGGGCAACTTGGTGAGACCTCATCTCTATAATAAATCAAAAAATTAGCTGGGCATGGTAGCACATGCCTGTAGTTCCAGCTACTTGGAAGGCTGAGGTGGAAGGATTGCTGGAGCCCAGCAGGTCGAGGCTGCAGTGGCCAGGAGCATGCCACTGCACTCTACTCTGGGCGACAGAGTGAGACTCCAATTCAAAAAAAAAAAATCCGTGTAAATGGCCAGGCACATTGACTCATGCTTGTAATCCCAGCACTTTGAGAGGCAGAGGCAAGAGAATTGCTTGAGCTCAGGGGTGTGAGACCAGTCTGGGCAACTTGGCAAGACCTCATCTCTACAATAAATCAAGAAAAATTAGCCATGTATGGTGACACATGCCTGTGGTTTTAGCTACTTGGAAGGCTGAGGTGTAAGGATCGCCTGAGTTCAGCAGATCAAGCATGCCACTGCACTGCAACCTGGGCAACAGAGTGAGAGTCTAACTAAAAAAAAAAAAATTTCTAAATGAAGAGAACAAAAGTCTGAAAGGATTCATATCAGACAGATAGTAGAGGTTACATCTCAGATTGGGGGGGATGGGGAATTAAAGGGAATTTGATTTTTTTTTTTTTTTTTTTTTTTGAGTTGGAGTCTCACTCTGTCGCCCAGACTGGAGTGCAGTGGCCGCTCCCAGCCACCGCAGCCTCGACCTGCTGGGCTCCGGCGATCCTTCCGCCTCAGCCTTCCAAGTAGCTGGAACTACAGGAGTGTGCTACCACACCCAGGTAATTTTTTTATTTATTGTGGAGATGAGGTCTCTCCAAGTTGCCCAGGCGGGTCTTGAACCCGACGGCTCAGGCAATCCACTCACCTCAGCCTCCCAAGTTGCGGGATTACAGGCTGAGCCACCGTGCCCAGCTTATTAGTGACATTTTAATTTTTTTACTTAATGCATTCCTGTATTGCTGGTGCCATTAAAAATTAATAGACTATGGGGGACGGTGCCATGTGCAGCTGTCCACGGTCCTGACCTGGGACACTGGGCCTCTGGGGCTCTCTTTCAGCATTTCTGAGAGGTTTGTGAAAAAACAGTTAAGAGAGAGGGCACAGCAGCAGACAGCTGGAAGCAGAGCCACTGATGGCCGGGAAGAAAACTGACAGATTTCAAAAAATAGATTATTTTTGTGTAATTGCAGTTTCTAAGAAAGAGAGGCTTTTCATGTGGGGCTGCCTCTCAAATGTTCTGCATATATTAACCAAAAAAGGAACAGGGGCTCGGTTTACTAAGGACTGTGGAGGGCAGGAGGGAGACCTGGGCTTGCTGGCTAAGGGCCTCAGGGTGAGGTGGTGTCCAGCCACGGGGTTGGGGGTGCTGCCATCAGATTTTCTGGTCACCTCTTCTGTCCTAGGGGCTCTCCTGGCCTAGACACCCCACCCCCAGCTTTCTAGGCTCTGGAGTCTGAGGCTAGACTTACTCCTGTTCAGGCTAACAATATAACCTTGGACTTCCTTTTAAAAAATTAAAAATATGACATTCTCAGTATTATAACAAAAATGTTAATTTCAAAATCATTAGAAAATGTGGATGCCAGGTGTGGTAGCTCATGTCTATAATCCCAGTATTTTGGGAGGCGAGGTGAGAGGATTGACTTGAGGTCAGGGGTTCAAGACCAGTCTAGGCAACTTGATGAGACCTCGTCTCTACAATAAGTCAAAAAATTAACTGGGCATGGTGGCACGTGCCTGTAGTTCCAACTACTTGAAAGACTGAGGTAGATTAATCTCCTGAGCCCAGCAGGTTGAGGCTGTGGTGGCCATGAGCGTGCCACTGCACTCCAGCCTAGGTGACAGAGTGAGACTCCGACTCAAAAAAACCAACAAGCCGGGCTCGGTGGCTCAGCCTGTAATCCTGTGCCTTGGGAGGCTGAGGTGAGTGGATTGCCTGAGCCCACGGGTTCGAGACCCGCCTGAGCAGGCGAGACCTCATCTCTAGTATAAATCAAAAAATTACCTGGGTGTGGTAGCGCACGCCTGTAGTTCCAGCTACTTGGAAGGTTGAGGCGGAAGGATCGCTGAAGCCCGGTAGGTCGAGGCTGCGGTGGCTGGAAGCAGCCACTGCACTCCAGTCTGGGTGATGGAGTGAGCCTTCAACTCAAAAAAAAAAAAACAGACCAAAAAACCCAACAAAACCAAAAAACAAAAAAACCAAAACAGCAACAAAAAAGAAAATGTAGACAAACAAAAATGAGAGACTAAAAGTCACACATGATCTTGCACCCAGAGATAACCACTGTCAACTTGTTTGGTGTATATATTATTCCAGACCTTTTTCTAGGTTCAAATGTATAATTTTTTTATAATAAAAATAGAATAATTCACTGTATTCATTGATGTGGTTTCACTTAACAATGTATGGTAAACACCTTTCTCTAGCATCCAACATTTTCTTACAGCATGATTTTTATGGGTCTATGACATGTCCCATTCTGGTATACAGGATTATAGATCCATCCTGTTGGAATTAGAGGATGCCTCTGGTTTTTCACTGTGGAACATACTTTGGGATATTTATGTTGTAACTTTGCCTTTGGTCACACCTCAATCTGTCCTTGGCTTGGTTAGAGGGGGGATCACCATGATCCCAGGCCTTTATTCTGTGTAGTCACAGCCACAGCAGGGGAGTGTGATTTGATCCTTGACAAATATGAACTGCTGCAGTGATCCCACTCAGCAGTAGACCTTGTCTGAGCATCATGCGCTGTGATACCTCTGTGCCCAGGGTGAGGGCTGCAGAGGTGGAGACCCAGTGAAAAGCACAAGTACTTGACCAGCGATCACCTTCAATGCCTTGCATCTACTAGGGTTGGGGTTGTGCAGTGACCCTAGCAAACTCTTGCACAAATGAATTTCCCCTGCTTTCTTTCAGGGAACACTCATAAGGTGGACCAAAGGCTTCAAGGCCACTGACTGTGAAGGGGAGGACATGGTGGACATGCTCAGGGAAGCCATCAAGAGGAGAAATGTAGGATGTGGTATCGAGGCTCACACCTAATGCTGCCCCCTTTCCCCAGGTCCCTCTGCTCTGCCATCCTGTGCCCAGTCCCAGTGACTCTGGCCTTTGTCCACGTGGGCTGGTATGCCCCTCCTAAGCCTGTTTGACTTGCACATCCTGCTTACAGTAGAGCCGCTTCCTTTGCAGGAGTTTGACCTGGACGTAGTTGCACTCGTGAATGACACAGTAGGGACCATGATGACCTGTGCCTATGAAGATCCTAATTGCGAGATTGGCCTGATTGCCGGTAAGTGGTCCAAACTACCCATTGACTTAAACCCGTTGGATCCTTTGGAGATTTCCGTAATGAGAGTAGGGAGCCATGGTTCCATTATCCAGAGGCTCTGTCCTAGGCAGAAATACAGTTAAGATCGAGATTCCTAGCCAGGCGCAGTGGCTCATGCCTTTAATCCCAGCACTTTGGGAGATGGAGGTGAGAGGATTGCCTGAGCCCACAGGTTTGAGACCAGCTTGGGCAGCATGGTGAGACCTCGTCTCTACAATAAATAAAAAAAAAATTAGCTGGGCATGGTGGCACACACCTGTAGTTCCAGCTACTTGGAAGACTGAGGCGGAAGGATCGCCTGAGCCTGGCAGGTCGAGGCTGTGGTGACTGTGCCACTGCCCTCCAGCCGGGGCGACAGAGTGAGTCTCTGACTCAAAAAAAAAAAAAAAAAGATTTGGATTCCAAGTTGCCTAATTTTTTCTCCATTAAGGATCCTAAGCCAAGGTCATGCTTTCTGTTAAGGAAGCAGAATGACACAAGAAGAAGGGATTTTAAAATTATAGCCTTGAGGCAGATAATCTTGGGAGGAAAGAGACTATAATTGGATCATATTGACCTGGGGCTTAGGGAGCTAGATGTTCACTCTGGCTTCGATGTGTATCTCCTCTGTTCTCTGAATTCCCCTGGCTCTCAGGGTGCACAGAAAGGGGAAGGATGGAAAAGAAATTCAGAAGAAGAAAAGGGAGTAGGCTGCAGTGATACAGACATTATAGTGGTCTTCGGGAGAAGGCTGACAGTGATGGCAGCCAAGCGTGGATTCCAGGGGGAATAACTCTTCCTAAGAGGTGGGGGATGAGTAGGATTTGAACAGGTGGAGATGGGGACAAAGGGCATTCCAGGTGACAGGCACAGGCTAAGTGATGACAGAACTGGGGAAGTTGTTCCATTTGGTCATCTGGGCTTCCTGAGTATAAGTAGCAGGTTGCACAGGGAGATGGGATATACTAAGGTCTCTTCAATGCCAGGTAAGAGGTTTCATCTCACACTAACCCTTCCACGCTTTGTGAACTTGGATAGGTTGCTGCTTCTGTCTGACTTGAGTTTCCTCGACTGTAGGTAGGGCTGAGCTAGATCTAGGAGGACAAAGAGGTGAGCCTATTTGATTGACTATAATGATTAACTGGTCTGCTGTGTTGACAGTCGTTCTAAGGTGAAGTTATAGTCGAGGAAGAGGGTGGCTCACAGGTGCCAAGTGTTTGCTTGTTCAAGACTACATGATTCCCTGTGGTCCCTTCCAGCTCTCACTGCTAATTCTGTGACCACTTGGAAGCTTTGTGTGCCTATGGCTTTACGATGATTATGGTGATGACGGCAGGTGCCACTTATTGAATGCTCATCATATGGAGATTTACAATTATTACCTCAGAGCAAATCCATAGAACTGGGTACAGTGGCTCATCTGTAATTCCAGCACTTTGGGAGGCTGAGGCAGGAGGATCACATGAGAACAGGAGTTTGAGACAAGCCTGGGCAACATAACAAGACCTCGTCTCTACAAAAAATAGAAAAATTAGTTGAATGTGGGGATACACGCCTGTAGTTCCAGCTACTCAGGAGACTGAGGAGGAAGGATCGCTTGAGTCCAGGAGGTTGAGGCTGTGGTGAGCTGTGATCATGCCATTGCCCTCTGGGCCAGGAGACAGAGTAAGACTGACTCAAAAAAAAATATATATCCATAGGCAGGTCTTATTTTCTTTATACAAATGAAGAAACCGAGCCTCTGAAAGATGAGACACTTGCCTAAAGCCAGTCAGTTGAGCATAAAGCTGGACTCACACCCAGCAGCATCTGACTCCAGGCCTAGATTCTTTTTTATTTTATGATTTTAATTTATTTTTTTATTATAAAGATGTGGGATACAATTCGGGGTTAGGTATACAAACAGTGATTATGCAGGTACCCTTGTAGATGAGGTGTGCCCCTACCTCCCCTAGCAGTTTCCCTCAATTGCCATTCCCACCCCCCCCACTACTGCACATCCCTTTTTTATAGTATTATGATAATTGTTCAAAGTCCACTTATGAGTGAGAACATATGGTACTCTGTTCTTTGTTTGTTTGTTTTTTTGAGTTGGAGTCTCACTCTGTTGCCCAGACTGGAATGCATTGGCTGCTCCCGGCCACCGCAGCCTCGACCTGCTGGGCTCCGGTGATCCTTCCGCCTCAGCCTTCCGAGTAGCCGGAATTACAGGCACGCGCTACCACGCCCAGCTAATTTTTTGATTTATTGTAGAGATGAGGTCTCACCAAATTTCCCAGGCGGGTCTCGAACCAGCGGGCTCAGGCAATCCACTCACCTTGGCCCCCCAAAGCGCTGGGATTACAGGCTGAGCTACCGAGCCTGGCCCTGTTTGCTTCTGTGATAGATCACTGAGTATGACAGACTCTAAATCCACCTAAGTTGCTGCAAAGTCCATGTTTGTCCTTCTTTATGGCTGCATAATATTCCATTATGTATATGTACCACTTTTTAAAAAAATCCAGTCCAGCTTCAATGAGCAGTATGTTTTTCTTTTTGTTATTGTGAATAGAGCTGCAACAAACATACACGTGTAGGTATCTTTTTTGTAGAATGATTTGAGTTCTTCTGGGTATATTCCCAATAGGGGAATTGCTGGGTCATATGGAAGGCCAATTTCTAGTTCTTTCAGAA